CCCAGCTCTCCGACTGTCCCCGAAAGGGGCGCCGAGTTTGCTAGAAAATAAAATATCATTTCTCGTGGGCCCAAAAGCCGGGGGGTAAGAGCACAGCGTTCTGGGGGCAGAGGGGCGCGAAGGGATCGTCACCTCCACCCGGCTGTCCTCGGCTGCGCGTCTCCTGGCGTGACATTTATATCTCGCAGCGGCCGACTGGGACGAGGGCTGCACGTCCCAGCCGTGAAGTTCCGTGGGTGGGGCGGGCAGTAATTTGCTCGGATCTAATGATTTCACAGACTCCTTTAAAATGGCGGCATTGAGCACACACCCCCGCTGAGTGCTCTCCGGGCACCTGAGCCACCTCGCGCGGCGTTGCTTTTGCTTCTGTAGCTAACAGATGGCATGTGCCACTGTCGCTGTCGCTGTCGCTGCCGCTGCCGCTGCCGCTGTCGCTGCCGCTGCCGCTGTCGCTGAGAGTGGGACCTCTTAACCCCTGGGTTTGCTCTAGCAACACAAGGTAAGGCTGGAGAGGAACTGGGATTCTTGAGAGTGGCTGCCTTCCCAGGATGCGGACGAAATAAAATGCCTTTTAAACTTTACTTTTCAAAATGGCAAAGAGAAGATTGACCCTGCAATTTTGTTGCAAAGTTAGGGCTTTGATCTTTCTTCGTCTTGTTCTTCCTCTCTTTTTTTCTATTTTCAATTTTCTTACATTGCTGCATGCATAATATCTATTCTATATAGTAATTAGAGAAACTTCTTGCATGGCATATTGTCAGCAAATGCGTTTAACAACTAATTTTGCTCGTGGTCCTGCTGTACCCTGAGCAGTGCCCCAGCTTCCTTGGAGCCCTGGTCTTTCCCGCTCTCCTCTAGATCAGCACATCTGGGCAGCTGGCTTGTACTACCGGCAGGCATCTTAAGGGCATGACGGTAAATTCAAACGATTAAACTATTAAAAACTTTAGTTTTTAGCATCCACACAATAGGCTTTTATGGCAAGAAAATGAAATTAAATCAAGGAGAGTAATGAAAGTTAACATTTAGGTGATTCATTTGTGTCGTTTTATCATTATTGGAGTAGATCTATGTGTTTTTCTGACTACTGCCCATTGATCTGGTATAGCAAGATACAACAGTGAGGGTGAACTTATTGTGTTGCTGTTTAATTACGGGAATGTAGTTTAGAACAGTTCTTTTTTTCTTAGATGCTCCTAAATTGCTAGTGTTTGTAAATGGGCACTGACTGATTCCCACAGCCTATCTCAACACATGTATTGTGTTCTTGGGAAAGCATCAATTAAAACAAAACTATTCTCAGATTTAATTTTGAAATGATATTTGATTTTTCACTATGTTGACTTCCTGGTTTAATCAATATGTCTTTGGTTGATTACTGATATAATGGTTGGAAAGTGGACTGTTTAAATACTTGTAGAAATGATTAGACATCAATGCTTCATACAATTCATCTATGAGGTGTGTTTTTCCCCCTCTGATGAAAGACATGCTAACAGTAAGGCTTACCAGAGACCTCAGCTTTTTCTGATTATATTCACATTTCCTCTTTTGCCAATGCAAATGTTTAAATACTTTTTAAACTTGTTTTAATTTTTTTTCCAATATGCAATACTTTGGGGGGATGCCTTCATATTTATAGAAACTTCCCTAAACATAACCTAAAAGGACTTTTGTCCATGGCCCAACTAATATTATAATACCCCTGTCTACTTTTTATTTCTCCCCAAACAATGGAAGCTACTTGGCTGGCAGACTATCCTGCCATTAAATTTAGCAAGCTTCTGGGAAAGGGGGCAGGGGGTATTGTTCACCACCTATTAGAGAACTGTGCAGTTTTCCTGCCTGGGTGCTAAAGTGTACCTAGAAAGAAAGAAGTGGACTGTTTACAATGGCATTTACTCGATAATAAACTTTGCATCCGTTTTTCAGATGATTGTTGAGAGAAGTGTATGGGGCAATTCATTGCTTCACATCTGAAAGAAGAGTTCCTGCAGGTAGAGCAATAGGTACTCCCAATTTTGCAAGGGGTAGAGAGAGAGGTGACCAAAAGCAACTTCTCCCATTTTTAGTGATTACATATTTAGATCCCAGTTCAGCAAGCTTTGCTTCCTGGTGTGCTTCCTGCCTTGTTTGCTGAAATACTTCAGACTAAATGCATCCTTTGAAAAAAAAGTGAAACTACTAAACCTTGAGGCCAGAGTAGACGAGTTCATCTACTGTCAGAGACCTTAGAAGGAAATTGTGCCAGTTAACATTCTGCAGCTTCATATAATAATGAGATTGGAGACCTTGTATGAAAACATAAGTGAAGGAGTTTGCAAAATAATATTTTGATATATGAGGTGTCCCACCCAAAATGTATACACCCTTTACAGCTGATAGCTCAATTTATATTTCTTTCTTTTCAGACTTAACCCATTGGAATTATTAACCCATTAATAATTATTCAAAGTGTCAATACACTTTTTGGGACACCGTGTATTACTGGGCTACAGGTGGTGATTGCATGTTTTGCTGTACTTCTAAGAGTTACTTCATTCTCTAATTCCCTTTGCTGCTTTTAGCACTCATAATGATTCCCAGGACTATTGTAAAGTACCTTTTTATCCTCGACTGCCCACACCAGGCATTTGACAACAGCTGTTTTTTAAGGGGGGATAAAACCTCTGATTATGAGCTGGTATCCAAAGTATACTTGGTATTCCCTTGCACCCACCCTTTACCTAAGCAATACTTTGCACAAAGTAGGTGCTTAATAAATGTTCAATTAAAAAGAAAAAAAAATGAATAGCTTGTAAACTCACAGAGGAGCAGATTTTGTGCACAACTTTTAATTTAAACAGAAGACATTTTTGTGTACTTGTAAGAACCTAAACATTTTAAGTAGATTAGAATGTACAGTCCCCTAATTGCCTGAATTCTGTTTCCCTCAAATAGGTTCTCTTGCTTCTCATTGTACTTCTAGGCACTTGTGTAATTTATCCCTTTGACCAGTAGGTGTATTATGATTGACCCCGCTCTACAATATGAAAAAGTAATCACAGCAACTTGGGGTGAAAAAGGTTTTGTCTGTTGAGGCTGTACAGTAAGTACTACACATGCTGGGACAGTGACAATCTCTTGGCTGCTGTGCAGATGCTGACTATAGTTTGAAGTACAATTTTGTTCTTCACTCAGTTGTTTTCATATGTGAGTTGGAGTGGAAGGAAGAAAGAGGTGAAAAGATTTTCATTCCTAAAATTTTATTCTTTTCCTGCTTATAGGACAATAAATTCAGGAAAGTGGCTGAATTTTTCTGTTTTGAAATAAATAATGTTGTCTGATAGGATTACAAACAGGGATGGGGCAGAGCAGACACGAATAAGTTACAGTACATGTTTGACAAGTAATTTGATCCTGTAATTAAATTGAGATAATGGTCCCTGCCATGTTAAAACTATCAAGTGTCTGAAAGAGCATGCAAGCTACGATCACTTTTACTTCATCAAGGTGCTTCCATGCTGTTGAGTTTTCGTATAACAAAGTCTGGTAGGGTGAACAGATGGATTCCCTCTCATTATTAATGTGTGTGATGTCAAGAAAATAAAAATCAGAAGTTTTGTTTCTTTGTGGGATTTTTGTTCCTCTCCCCAAGTGTAATGTTGTTCTCACTTCAAAATTAGAAATAAGCCTGTATCTCAGGTAAAATGAGGTGGAAATTTTTCCTCTATGAAAAGAAACTGTATTTGGGAGCAAGTGGTTTAATCGCCAACCAACAAAACAACAAACAAACACAAATTATGACCAAAAGAGAAGCAATTAGATCTATATTAATGGGGGCGTTTTAGATTTTAAGGGAACCAGGGGCTCCATGGCATCCTATTCTTCCTGAATGGTTATATATTGCCTCAAGATAGCCAATGGCAATGTTGGAAAGGCAACTTTGAGAATTAGGATAAAAAAGGTGTCAATTATGTTATCAGCTGTTAATAATATCTATGTGACCTAAATAGATTAGAGAAGATATTTTTCCAGATCATTCTAGTACAGACACAATATAGGGTGTCCCAAAAAATGTATACACACATTTTGAATAATTATAAAGGCAGTGTTTATTAATATACATTTCATTTTCAAAATTGAGCCATCAGCTGTTAAAGTGTGTATACATTTTTTGGGGACACCCTGTATAAATCCATCATTTAGTTCTACTTCGTACTATGTACTATATTGAGCAACTCTTTTTAAATAATTGATGGGGAAAATAATATAAACTGAGAAATATTTTTATTTGAGAAATAAAGGTACTCCTAATTTTTCTGGCCACATATATATAAGTACACTCATGTGCATGCCTGTGCAAATTAGTATTCATTTTAGAACAATTTATACAGTTATGCATTTATTTCTCCCTGGAGGTTTATAGGAAAATACCTATTTTTATAGCATTCCTCTCATTTTAAGAATGAAAGAAAAAAGGTTCATAATAAACTATAATAAATGTTTGTATTAAGCAGTGTCTCCCAAGCTCAGTAAAAGAGCCGTGGCTCTGAATGTTCAACTCCAGGCAGTTAACTTTCAGAAAAAATTACATTGCTCAGAACTCAAGAAGCAGCAGGAGTAAAAGGAAGCTTGATTTAAATGTGTGTGTTTGTGGTGTACGTATGTGTGTGAATATACAAAATGTACCTGTGTATGTATTTATATTATTTATATTCACATGCATGCATATATGTTATGTGTATATATGAACATGTATGTTATGTAAATTTGCATACATACACATGTGACATATATTTTCCCTCTCTATGTATATGATACTTTTTAAGAAACTCAAGCATGTAATCCCAGAACTTTCTACTCTTTATAACAGCCATAAGAACAAAGTGTTAAGGAAATAAAAGGAGCCTGATTAGAGTGTTCAGAATCACTTAGGCATGCTTGTTAAAATATTATGTCCACTCTCAAGTCCTACTTCCATCAGCATTAAGTTGGCTCATGAGTAGAAGTGATTTGTTCCCAGTTTTAGTCAGGAGTTTTGTGGGCTTTTATTAAATTTTATGCTCACAGCGGGTGAACTACAACAGCCCAGTAAGAAAGGGCTTCCAATTGAGAAAAGCAGTCTGAACAGAAATTCAAGGGGTTAGTACTAGAGACTTCCAGCAGGCTAATTGATCTCTTTAGAACATGGGAGCATCCTAGAGACAGACAGTTTGCTGGATCTTGTTTTCCATTTTGGATCACTTAAATTGGCTTAAAATTGTCCCCATCAGATTCTTTGAATCCTGAGCTCCTTGGCATTACCCAGAACTGGTGTGAAAATTTGAGAATGGTTTCTTTAGGCTTATTCAAGTTTCCCTGAATGTATGAGTAAATCCTAATTATGCATATTACTGGGTCTTCTTAGCTCATAGTCCCAGTTCCTGGCACATAGACTCTCAGTAAAAGTTTGTTAAATAAATGGAAGAAAAGTTTTGTCTTTCTAACTTGGTTCTGTATTTTATGAACACCCTTCCC